ATTGTGGTTTAATGTCGGTGTTATATAATATGATATATTAAGCAGCTACAAGATTATAATGTTGACAAATAATTTTAATGGTTTGTAATTTTTTATACATTTGAATTTGAAATTACAGACATTTTCGACAGTTAAATGTAATATGAGTCATCATCAATGGCTTGATTCGCGTACAATATCACCATACCGCCAAACCCACACAGCACAATACAAACAAATCAAATCGATTACTGATGGTTTTTTACCCTCGAAACGCTTTTAAATGAATAATTTACGACCTCTTTCCTTCCTTCCGGATTCCTAGAACGGATTCGCGTCACTCGCTGGATCGTGTCCTACACTTTGCGTTAGCATCAGTTATTTACTATGCGGCGGCGTAAAAAAAAAACACGAACACATAAAACTGTACAATAATCGCATGAATGAACGGCGCCACGTGTGAATGAATCACACAACAGCAATACCAGCTAATAATAATATCTCATATTCTTCAGAGTAGGTACATCCATGGATGAATCATTCACAAATACTCAATATATACCGGCGCCGCCGTCACGTCATGCGTTCATAAAATAACAATCGATTGTAATCATTTTTTCAATATAGGTACTCACACATTATAACTTATATTTGATTAATATCACAATTAATAATATATAGGTACCCGTACCCTCCACCCGGTACCTATACCTAACACTGACATTAAACAACAATTTAATTTAAGACCTAAGTATTAAACAATTATGAAATTTTTAAAATTGTATAGTTTTAAAAAAACTACAGTATAACAGCGTTAGAAATTTAAATATTTTAAAATGGACTTATTGGCATGATGAACTATTGAATTATAATCACATGACATAGAAAAAAAAATTAAGTAGGTTAAAATTAGGAAAAAAGCATTATTACTTAATTATACATTTACCATTACCTATCATAAATGTATAACAGTTATTATAAAACTATTCAGTTAAAATTTGAGTTCGATAATAAATTCAAAACCACAAACATTTGATTGACAGTTAAAAATTAAATACTACATTAGTTACTATAAATAAATCATCGTGATTAATAATTATTGTGATAATATTAAAATCTAATAAAAAATATAGGTATAAGATAAAATAAAGTAGGTATTAGATACTATTTATATTGGAATAAATTTTGATACATGGTATCTATACATCCATAAGTTTTTAAATATTCAATTAAAATTATAGTTATTTCAAATAGCTATTTCTTTATCCCTATAATACGTATTATCTACTTTAAGTGTACAGTTCACTTACAGTTTACACTAGGCTGCTTTGTCGAATTTTAGATGAATTTATATGCGCTATTCATATATATTAGTTGGTCATTGATGCACCTATAGAAGTGTGGTGGTGGATTTTAACGATGACCTAGTTTTGAAAGTGTGCGGTTATGATTACCAATATCTAAGGTAAATAGATAATATTGGTTATCTACTAACCTTGATGATGACCGCCAAATTTTTCCATAACATTTATCCATTTTATCGGATAATTGATGGAAATTTCCCAGGATTATATCAATATGTACCATAATATATTATATAGTTTTACCTACTATATAGGTAGGTACCTATACTTACTTGTTAATTTACGTCAATATCTACAGACTGATGTTATTTACCTGATCACATGTTTTACACCCGTAATATGTAATATTACATAGCATATGCCATATACAATAGGTATGCATATTATTATTTATTATATAGGTAATAGAATATTTTTCACGACGAGTCAAAATCGAAAATTTTTAAAAATTAACAAAAGCTTACAATAACAGCAACTGTTACAGTAAGTAATTACGGATGCTGGATAAAGCTGATATATTGAAACAGTGAAACATAATATAATACTTAATTGATCCCAGCAAATTACCATATACCACGTTCATAATATCAATTAAAACGTATGAATAATATAATATGGGTGTACCTACGTGTAAATATTAATACAAACATTAATTTAAACTCACTTTCATCAAATCTTCGGCCTTTTCTCACTAGCACCATCGTGAATGGCAAATCAAAGAAAACAATTAGCCCACTTCGAGATGAACAATATTATAATGATGCCGCCCATATTGCCTTATTATTAATTAAGTATTATACAATAAATCCATAATCGCTCCGTTCTGCTGACTATCTTAACGGTACTGGACGTGTCCGCTCAGACTGAGATGTTCCCCCCCCCCCCGACTCAATATATATTTTTTTAACATAATAATAGGTTTGAAAATAGGTTCTTTGGATTTACCCGAAATAGACGATCATCCTAATATATATCATTATATCAATCGGCATCTATCGCTTATCATCATTTTTTGTCCGGGGGGAAATTGTTCCGTTCGGGAGGATTGTATCAGGGGGAAAGGCACAGGGGGGGGGAAGTCCTAGATTCATCGTAATTGCAACAATAATAATCAATACACTTTACAATATAAATATTGTTTTCAATATAGAAATATTACAAATGTTTTAGGTTATTTACCTATGTATTGTTTTTCCATAGTACATCATACGAAAAATATGTTTTGGTGGTTGAGAAAGGTGGGAGGGTTTAAGTCTTAGGGATTTGATTTTATGATCAAAATACCGAAAAATCTAAAGAATGGTTATAGTATACCTACTATAATATTAATATACTAATAATACATTTTGAGAAAGAAACATAAAATATGTTCCTATGTGTATGCATGATACGTACACGTCATGTATTATAATATTACAAGTTTAGTCTATAATTGTCTCACCACTTAAACGCACCGTCTATTCACCCGAGAACATGAAGTGACGACAACGTTATAATATATTGTGTACGAATGTATGATTCATCCACGATGTACACACGAGATATTAGGTATATGCATTAATATTATTATTATTATTATTGTTAATGCTGTTGTGTGAATGTGTGATTCATTCACTCACGGCGCCGCTCATTCATGCGATTTGTGCGGTGTACCTTTACAATCGTGTTCGCTTTTTTATTCTTTATCGCCGCCGGCCGACGCATAGTAAATAACTGACGCAGACGCACAGTGTACGATACCATAATATTATATCGTCGATCCGATCTGCGGTGAGTGACGCGAATCCGTTCTAGGAATCCGGAAGGAAGGAAGTCGTAAATTATTCTTTTAAAAACGTTAAAGAGAAGAAAAAAAACAATTATTGATATTATGATAATGATACGTTTGTATAATGTATTGTTTGTGGCCGTGTGGGTATCCTAAAACTGTTCACCAATATAATATTATATAGTGATGATGATTCATTTTGTATTTAACGGACAAAAAATGTTACAGATTTACATGACGTATTTGATGCATCAACAATTATTTAATGCCTAACTTATTAATAAAAGTATACCTACATGTTATTAAGTATAAAAATATCTTAAACTTTTACGATTAACACTTCTTTTGTTTTACAGATTATTTTTTATATTGGGGAGAATTAATAGTCACCGGAAAAAAATTCGTAAATTGATTATAATTGATATTATATTTTAGATGTTTTTTTAATCATTTTTTCAATGACTTTTTTCCGTTTACCATTTTTTTTTTACGTTAATACGTTACGTTTTATGTTTTGCTAAATACGGTGATTTGGCTGTACGTAAAGCCTGATTCCTACGACTGTATTTCACTGAGTCGTGTATTTGACGAAAATTCGCTTTTCGTGGATATTCACAGTGTGTAGTGGGAATGGAGTACAACAGAGCTTTTGTTTTTCCTAATTATTAGACAAGGCTTCTCAGTTCTCAGGATTTTTTACTTTGGACTCACCAAGGACCAACTAGAATTGCTTTCCTAAAAAAAAAATATTGAAACTGAAAATCTAACAATTTTATTACTCCAAAAGATGAACACTCAAACAAAAAACACACATGATAAAATGAATACATAGGTACATCTCTGCAGAATCTAAAAATTGTAAGTATCACTTATTTACCTATTTTTTTTTCAACTATTCCTTTTTGTTTTTCACTATAATATATACAATCGTTGGGCATTGGATTATATTATTTTAAAGTATTCAAGAATTGAGTTGAAATGGAATTCATTCGTTAAAATGAAAAATAAATTGTTAATGCAGATTGTTTTGTTTGTTAAGTAACTGTATTTATTTTTGGCAAATTAATACACATTTTGTCAGTCAAACTGCGGCAGCTAGGTTCGACAGACAAAATAACATTATAATTATATAATAATACATATTATGTAGCGAGAGTTGGTATTTACACATAAACATATTATTATAGTAACGGTTATTTTTAATAGAAATTTTTTTTATCTCAATAGTAAAAATAAATTAATTTAATTTAGTAAATATATATATTTTACAGACGCTATGAACCGATCCTGATTAACTGTTAAGACTGCGGCGACGTCGTATATATATTATTATATTAAAATTAATTTTTCAGAACAATAAAATATTTTTAGGTAGGTATATTAAAAATTACTCGTATACGACCGAGACCCTCGTCGTACCTGTATTATATTTATTTATACAGAAGTGAAGTATTTCAAACATTATAAAAAAAGAGAATAATCCTACAATAAATATTATAATATATTTTATATAATCGTTATTAAATACACATCGATAAGCGAAACAAATAGTAATAATAATAATAATAAAACTAAGAAGTAAACGAACGGGCTGACAAAAAAATAGGTATTTGTACAAGAGCTTGTTTGTTTGTGGTTGGGCGTCGCGCGGTTAGGGGTGACGGAAAGGGTCGGACTAAAACCGTGTTAGAAAAAAAACACGTGTTTGTGTACGAACCACCATCCACGTGGAATAGAATACTTTTTTGTTATACGAGACGTCATTAGACGATAATATTAAAATTGATGATTGATCCGCGTAAGACAATTATGACCGTGTACCTCGAAGTGACGTTCGACCGAAAGGATCGTAAACGTGGCAGGCAGCAGTGAGCGGGTCGGAGGCGGTGTTACATCGTTTTTCTGTGTATCACCCTTGAGCCTTCTTCGAAAAATTCTCGTTTTGACACCCACATCCGGCGGAATGTGCCCAACGACGCCAGAATGGAACCTCCGATCCACGTCGTGTACAGACGTTCCTGAGGCGCCAAAATCTTAAAAAAATAAATAAAAATATTCACATTTTTTTCTAAAACACGATTTGGTCATTGATTTGTGCAATATATTTCCACAAAATCCTTAAATTCTGTAATGAACCTCGCGAATACGGCAGTGTTTTTTTCTGTTAATCCGAGCATTATAAATTCATAATTTTTAAGATAATTCACAAGGTAGTACCCCCTCCACTAATATTATATATAGATTGCCTAGATAAGTAAATTTAGAAATGTATGGACATTTGTAAAGGAAAAACTAAAAAATGTCTATATTTCATAATGTATAGAAAATAATAAAATAAAAACATTTTGTGAAAATTCATAAGTACCTAAAGTTATTAGTTTTCAAATTACAACAAAATAAGAAAATTCCTGAGATTTTGATAGTTATTTACAGGTAAATATCCAATGTTTATCTTCAGACTTTCATAAAAATATATTGTGGATTTAAGCTCAATTTTTTTTTTATTTAAACAAACAAAAACTTATGAGAAACTTTTGCTTTAGAATTTTAAGTTTTTGACCAAACGAAAACACTTTTATGGACAATAGTTTTAAATAAAAATAATAGAAAAATCTCAATTATTTCCTGCCTATAAACAGCTTAAAAAGAGTCAAAATATTTTGAAAATTGTAATATAAACATTTGGTGAAAACTAGTTTTGCGTAAAAAAATATAAGATACCACTGTTGAATGAATACAATAATATCACTCCACTAAATCACACTCAATCAAAAAAAGGTTATGGGGGGGGGATTCATCTGGCAGTTAGGGGCACCAAGTACATTTTTATGCAATTAGTATATTGCAATACTTTTTTACACTAAAATATATGCGGAAGAATAGGTACAGAATAAATTGATATACAATGACTGTCATCATAGGGTTCGACGACATTGACATAACTCGCACACTTAAACAGTTTGACTGTTGTCTGACTCTCGATAACAGATACGAGTAAACGAAATTCGTGAAATGATTACTCGGGCCTTGAACTATATAAATAATAATATTAGGCTCGCGTTTCATAAATTATTACGAGTTACATATTAAATTTTTACGTGTGTATAATGATTTTCTATAACCGCCAAACATAAATGTGATTTTTTTAGTTTTTTTCATATAAAATACACAGACAAGCCCTCTTCTGTCAGAGGTGTCATTAACCATTGCAAAATACAACAACCGGTATGGTATACTACCCAACCTATACTCGTTTATAGCGATTATGCTTGCCATAAAATATACAACAGTAAAAATATGATTAGTTGATTGATTTTTTTACTATATTAATGTTGTAAATATTAAAATAATGAATATTACGAGGTATATCCAGAAAGTAAGTTCCGTTTTGTATGTATATTTTGCATGGGAACAATTTAGTCATCCGCCCTACAGTCCAGATTTGGCACCCAGTGATTTTCATCTTTTTTTACACATGAAATCATTTATGGGTGGCCAGAACTTCAACGAAGATGATGAGGTGAAAAAGGCTATTAGCGCATGGTTACAATCACAGGCGTCATCTTTCTATGATGAAGGGATACAAAAACTAGTACCTCGATATGATAAGTGGTTAAATAATGGTGGTAACTATGTTGAAAAATAGAGTAATACATGTATTTTATATTCAAATAAAATTTATAATAAAATTTACACATTTACATGTTTTTATTGCCCAACGGAACTTACTTTCTGGACACGCCTCGTATTATTATTAGGTAATTGGTATTGTCTTACACAGTGATACGCTAATAAATTACTATAAAATATATAAAATGTATTAGCTTGTATAAGTCAATACCAAATACCAACGGTGTAAGTTTATGGTATAAGATCACTAACATTAATGATATTGTACAATATAAACAAATTTTAACTGAAATTTTAAAATGTATAAATAATTAAAATATTGTGCATTAAATTAGTACCCATATACTATATACAACTAATTCATATTATTCTAACTAAAATGTTAATTGTAAGATCTTGAGTTTTTGTTAAATTGATTTAAATGTCAAATTTTATGGAATTATTTTAAAACAATAAGTTTTAATATATATGTTAAAAACCATAAAATAAAATATTTAATATAAAATTTAGTTTTTTTTTTAAATTTTACTTGCAATTTTGTACAATCAAGTATTTTATATTTTAGCAATCCTTTTCACATCTAACCTAAACTTCTACATGTGAAATCAAACAAATAAGTTATGCATATTATACATAAAACAATTAGAATAATATGTATATTATTACTATAATAGTATTTCCTTTCCATGGTTTTGCACCAATGACCACAAATTGGATGATAGTGCCTCAATAATACCCACAACTAACAACCATAATATTTAAATTAATTTTGTTAACGATGATGGTGTTCTAAAATATTGCCACTGTGTCACTGTTGTGTATATGAATAATTAATTAATAATCAATGCATTGAACAAATAAAATTATAATAAATAATATATAATATTGATTTAAAATGATTAAGCATTTTTGAATATTTACCTTTAATTTCATATTTTTAGGTGCTAGTTTCTTAATTTCTGATAATAATCTATCACCAAATCCCTGAAAAATAAAACAAAATTTATAAAGAAACATTTGATTTGTATATTTTTTTTTTTACTTACAGATAATAGAGTTGATCCTCCAGCTAGTACAATACTTTGATATAATTTTTTTCGTACATCTAAATCAGATTTTTGTATTGAATATACTAATGCTTCATGTAATCCTTCACATTCTTCACCAATTAAATCTGGATGGAATAACACTTCTGGAGCACGGAAACGAGCTGGGCCAATCTTATAAAAATAAACAATGAAGAAAATTTAGTTAAATTTAATATAATAGCATTTTACAATTAATGATTATTATGTGAACCTGTATTAGTTAACAGCTGATGTTAAAATGATCTCATCTCTTTTTCATTTTAATTTAAGTTATAAAATCTAACATTCACTAACTTTAATTTTAGACCCAAAGCATTTGTATAATTTTAGTTTAGTTTATCATACATAATATACATAATAATCATACAAAATTATTGTATACTGTAATTATATTATAACAGGAAAATTATTGACAACAAACTTAAGTTTATCAATAATTGGTATCTATGAGTGGAAGTAATTTAGAAAGAAAAGCAGGGAAAAATATTAATTTAAGTATATATGCTTACATCAACTTTGTTTCCGTCAGGTAGCATATATTGATATATATTACTATCAGATGATTCTTCTTTAACTGGACTTAGAGCTACATAACAAGCTTTTTCTTTAATTGCTCTAACTACTTCAAATTCTGCAGATGTAGAAAAATTTAAACCTTCTTTTCTTAGTAATAACCTAAATGTAAAATTAAAATGTGATAATTGCTTTTAATATTTCAATTGTATAAGTAAAATTACTTAAGATATCGTGATATATCCCGGCCAGCTAAATCTAATCGTATAATACCGTGCTTCATGGCAAAACCTTCATAAATCGGAACAGTGTGAGTAATTCCATCACCAGAATCTAAAACAACTCCAGTAGTGCGACCAGTAGCGTATCTATGTATATAAAAAAAATAAATATGTAATATTAATATTTAGTAATTTTGATATGATTTGCTGTTATATACAAACTAAGAACTGCCTGAATAGACACATAAAATGCAGGAACGTTGAAAGTTTCAAAAAATATTTCTGCAGCTTTTTCACGATTTCGTCGTGGATTCAGAGGGGCTTCAGTTAACAGTACAGGATGTTCTTCAGAAAATGTTTGAAGTTGATCACTACCATATATATATTGCCATATTCTTTCCATGTCATTCCAATCAGTTACAATACCGTGTTCTATAGGATATTTGATATATAGCAAACCACGATGTTCTTCAGCTTTCGGTCCAATAAATGTATCTCCTTCTAAAGCACCAGCCATTACTCTAACATGCTTTGGCCGTCCAATACTATGAAGCAATAATTTATTTAAATATTTATACACATATTACTTTAGTTTTGTTAAAATTATAATTCTAAATTGTATAGGTACATACTAATTTGGAAAACAACATTTTGGGGTTTGTTCCCCGGCAAATCCAGCTTTAATTGCACCTGATCCCTGCAAAAATACAATTCATAAATAAAAATTATTTAAAAATAGATAAAGTAATTACTTAAAATGAGTTGATAATTTTACCTCTAAAAAACTGCGTAGAAATTAAATACTTAATTAATTAATGGAGTACATTTTTATATTTGCAAGAGTATTTGGATAAAAATAAAAATAACTAAATACTTATTCATTTAAAAAAAAATAAAATGTTGAAAAAAGGTTTTATATATCAAAATAGGATACACTATTTGTATATAAACTTATATAATATAAGAATGCTTTAACCATTTACAGTTTAATAATACAAATCTTGAAATTTGAATAGGTTTATTTTGTACTTTATATATCTACAAGGTATAATACTTAAAACATTAAAACTTAATACTAAGTAAATTGTATGTTTAACTAAGTTAATCTGCGAATAATCATACAGTATAAGTATTCCAACTTCAATGAATATTGCTAAGTATAAAGAAAACAAGTATAACAGTTAGGTATAAAATACAATTAAATTTGTACTTTTTATTTAATATTAAATTTCATAAGAAAACTATTTATTATTATATGAACATATTACATTTAATTAAGTTAATTGATTGATAAATTAAAAATAATTAAGTTCATTGAAGTAAAATTTCATTTAAAAAGATGTACAAAGATATAGGTTTGATTAAATTGTCTTCAATCTACATAGCATTTAGTTCTAAAGCAAAGTTTAATATGTATAGTAATACATGTATACTGATACTACTTTTATGCTTATTTAATGGTTTATTCTATACAGTTTGCAGGTTTACAAAATTAATTTAACCTTTATGGGTATGACATTAAAAATGCTGTGATATTAATAGAAAAACCTAATATTATTTAAAATATATTAGACTTAGTTTTTTAAGAAATAAACACTTTACGCGTTAAAATCCAGTCTTATGTTGATTTTGTTTAAGTACAGTTTTATGTTATATAGGTTAGGAAGGTGATTCCACCAAGCATGCTCATAACCGCTCATAACTTTTTTATTCTTTAATAACAGTTATTCCAAATCTGATTTTTGGAATTTTAAAATAGTTTTAAGACCATATCTATTTCCAAATTCTTGAGATTTATTGTACTAAATACTTAAGGGATGTCATCTGGAGAAAAAAACTCATTTTTTTTAATGACAACATCACTTTTCTACTGTAAATTATTAAGTGGAACATTTTTCAGATAATATTGGTTAATCAAAATCAAAATTTGAATGACTAAATATTGAGTTATTTAACTTTGTGTACAAAGGATAATAGGTCCATGATTATGAGTTTGGAAGATACAGATCATTTATATTAATCTATCAATATTAATAGTTTATAAAATATCAGAATTTAAATAAATTTATTAGGTTTTAAATGAAAAAATAGCTATGAACATGCTTGGTTAAAAACTGTGTATTATATATTAATGTCTTAGACCTAATTTGTGAGTATAAAAATAATTACAAAATGCTTTTACACAAACATTGAAATACCAATTTATAAAAAATAGTTAGTTATTTTTTATGGAGATACTAGTTTAAATAAAATCTGGTTAGCAAACTATAATATAATATATTATATTATATTAGTCTATAACCACTAATAAGTCATACAAAATTATCAAAGCCGAAATTTTCTAAAGAACTACTGTTTGATGTAAACTTCAGTCTCAAGATGAATCCACAAGAATCAGGGTTTTTTATTATTCGAACAATACGTAGGTAGAAAGGTAATTAATAAAATGTTCATGCTCTCATAGTTCTATAAAATATTATGCATGAATTATAATATAATGATGACGAGGACTTACATTGTCTATGACAACTGGCTGATTGACAATAACGTCATAGGTTTCCATGATGAGCCGTCGTTAGTAACAAATAGTCAATTATCCTTTTGGGATAATATAAAAATTAAAAATCGTAACAAATTACATATACCTAACTAATAAGTATAACTTTCTTTAAAAACGTTCAATATCATATTATTATTATTAAGTTGATAACATTACAATAAGCGTTAACATAACCTAAATACCGTTACCAACTTAACCGGTACACTTACTGATAAAAAGAAAAATTGATAATAGATATTTTGTTTTTGTTTCTTTTTATCATCAAAATGATAATAATTATTTTTAATTTTTATATTTAAAATCTCTGTAATGAGTCTAATACTCTAATCTCAGACCTCGGTATCTCACATTCTCACTCATAATTCCAATAATTCATTATTCCGAATTGTTCAATCAAAATGTAAAATACGCACAATTAATTAACATTAGTACTTGATACAACTTTTGTTATGAAAGTATAAACGATTTGATTGTTCCGATCTTCGTTTTTTGATTACAAGTTTTGAAACAAAATATGAGAATATAATATATCTAATTAAGTAAGTTATTACTTATTTATTAAAGTCAATTGCATAAATAATTAACGAAATCATGTATTTTTGTGCCTTTATTTCATCAGAATGATGTTTGGTGAGCATTCTAAAATGCAGTTCATAGAACAAACAAGAGCTGCAAGAGTAGAAAGAGCAAATGATCGTAAACGTGAGCAATCTGCTATCCTCGTTCAATCTTGGATCAGAGGATGGCTAGTTCGCAAACGCACTCGAAACTTAATCCTGTCAGTTTTAGCATTTTCTCATTTTTATATAAAAATCATCAACTATCATGATTTATTTGGTTTTTTATATGTTTATATTTTATAGGCAACAATTTGATGAAACGTTTGAGAATATCAATGATTTGAAACCTGCTATTACTGTTTATTTATCTGTGAAAAAATTTTTGACTTATTGGGATGAAAAGAGAGATAGACAAAGATTTGAAAAACTCTGCAGGTTAGATACATATTTAACTTATATTAATTATTGGAGTTAACAATTTGACTGATTCCACTCATACACATTTTTATATTTATTTTACACATTTTACAGCTTCTATACAATAAATTATGTCTACAATATTACAATATGTATAATAGATCTTAAGACATTTTTAATTTCTTTCAAGTTCTAGTATAAGTTACATATATAAATATATAATATTCAGTGGTGAATTCTCCAGGCATGCTCAGGAATTAAGTAATTAATAAAAATACAAAAATTATGTTGTCATCAATATGATATTACGTATTAAAAAAATCATAATGTACGACAAAAATGTCATCTATTTCTGTTATACTCTCTGTGTTTAACTTTATCGTAACCTTTATTAACAGAACATGCGATAGCTGTGTGCTCAAGTTACACGATGCTTATTATTGGTGCGAAATACTGGTTATTTCCAGACCTCGATACTAACCACCTAGAGTATGTTCAGTCAGTTGCACTTTGTCAATGAATTTTATAATATAATTTACCAGTACGAGTATTTGACAATTGTTCTTTATTTTGTTTTGCTATTTTTTAATATTGTGTTGTGTTTAGTACTATAATAAGTATATAATGGCTATCGTAGAAACTGAATGATGTTTTGATATTTGCCGGTTAAAATATGAGTTACATATTTTGTACAGTTCAGCAGAATTTAAAGTTAAACCAATTTTTGAATAATCAAATACATAAATTCAAATAAATTAGACTTAGGGCTGAAAGAAGCATATAAACTAGCTAAATTAATTGCAACTATTCCAAGTACAACAGCATCAGCGAAAGAACATTTTCAGCACTCAAAAGAATTAAAACATATTGTAGGTAGGGTTGCCACCTCTCCGGGTTTCACCCGGAGAATCCGGGTTTACGTATAAATCTACGGGCTCCGGGTTCAGTGAATTATTCTCCGGGTCGGAGATAAAGATAAGATAACATACGATTTTTTATTTTATTATTTTTTTTATTAGTTTCCGGTATAAAAACTATTTATTCAAGATAACAAGAATAATAAGATTATGAACTACGGTTTATGACTTTATGAGTCTACGATTACGATTTTACGAATCAGTTTCAACATCACAGTCGAGTGTCGAGTTTGATCAAATCCGAATATCTGCTTTTAATTTTTGTGTCAGTGTAACCGTGGCATCGATATTATAAAACTACACAGAATTTGAAAAGTAATTCATTAACGACTACATTTATGACTAAACGACCTTTTTTTTTTTTTGCTTATCGGCCTGCTCCGGGGCTGCTTTCTTTCAAAGGTGGCAACTCTAATTGTAGGTCTGCTTAAATGTCAAGACTATCTTCTCTTGAAATATTATCAATTGAAAAAAAGGTGGGCAAGTGGGTGTCGCTCTGCTGTACAGTAGGTTACAAGTGGGTCACTGTATAATGGATGGTATTAAATTTGAATTCAATGATATAATATCATTGTATAAGAAAAATGATTCTGAGCGGTGATGGTATGTCAGTCTATGTATAAGGCATATTATATACATATCTATGGTATTAAACAAAAATTGACCTATAATAAATTCCAAATTAATCATATCACAATATCCATTAGATACTTATAACGCGTTATACATCAACAAAAATCGTGATACTATCATAGATATATAATAGTACACTTTAGAAGTTTCAAGTACCTACGAATAGTATTATTCAATCACAACAAAATAACTAAAATCGTAATTCTTGGTTTAAATATGAAATTTTGTCTAAATTTGAAATTAAAATGTCTGTAAAAAATAAGTGTGTTTATATATTTTTTAGATTTTTTGGTTACAGTATGAATTATTTAAGAGAATCTTTGTCTTAAATTTTCAACTCTTAGTTATAAAAACTGAACATTTTATAATTTTTTAATTCCAACGATTGATAATTTTCGAGATTTTGATAAATTTTGTCAAAATTCCAACTTTAAATGCTTATAAAAAAAAATCGTGCCTATGTATTTTTAAAATTTTTCAACTGATATTGTAACAATATATAAGAAAGCTTGTATTAAATTTTCAGACTTTTTGGCCCACCAAATAAAATTTTATTGACAATTATAAAAAAAAAAACTAAAAAAATTGAAAACTGAAAATGTCCGTAAACAGCTCAAAAAGAGTCAAAATCTTTTCAAAATTGTATGGTGTATAGGAAATGCTAATATAAACATTCAGTGAAATTTTCATGTATCTACAGTTATTCGTTTTTGAATTACAACAAAATAAGGAAATCGCTACATGAGAAATCGAGTGAAAATCCAATGTTGTAAAAATTTGAATTTCAAACGCTCATAAAAATTTAATTTGACTGTCCGGTAGAGATTTTTTTATTGATAAAGGTAGATAATCTTATAAGGAATCTTGTGTTTCATTTTCAAATCTTAGATTTAAAAAGAAAAATTTTTACGAATTCTTAACTCAAAATAATTTGCTAATTTTCGTGATTTTTCCATATTTTGTCAATTTTTGAACTTTAAATGCTTATAAAAAAAAATTGTGACTAAGGATTTTTAATATTTTTCATCTGCCTTTGAAACAACATATTAGGAGCCTTCTATTAAATTTTCAAGCTTTCGCAACCAACAAATACAATTTTATTGATATTTCTAGAAAAAAAACTAAAAAAAAATGAAAAATGAAAATGTCCCTAAACAGTTCCAAATAAATCAAAATATTTTGAAAATGTTATCGTGTATAGAAAATGCAAATATAACAACCAGTGAAAATTTCATGTATCTACGGTCATTTGTTTTAAAGTACACCAAAAACCAAATTCGATTTTTTGGAAAATCGATTTTGCGTAAAAATTCCGTTTTTCCTTAATTTTTATGTTGTTTTTCCCGGCACTTGTGAAAACTACTGGAAAATGTTTACTTTTGACCCCCAAAGTACCAACTAGATTCACTTTCCTATCAGAAAGGTACTATTGAAGAAAATCGAAGCACTTTTACTGTCCCAAAACGTGATGACAGACACAAAAATATAAATAAAATATAAAATATAAAACATACATCATTGTAAAACAATACATTCATCGCTTCCGCTCAGAATCTAAAAGTATTAGAAGATTAAAATGAGCCTGATTTTACTCTAAAGTAGATGATAACAAAAAAGTTTGTTAAAAAAGAAAAAAGAATTGAGAAGAGTTAGTCAAATCTTAATTAAAATTATTAAATTAAATAAATAAAAACAAATTATTGTATAATTTATTAATTATAAATTAAATAAAACTATAATACATTATGATAGATGAGCATGCCCATACATTAGAGTCAATATTCACCACTGATAATATTGTATTTAGGTTATGTAGCTTTATTAACTGAGCTATAGTTTAATAAATTTATTTTTTAACATTTTAGATATATAATTCTTAGTCTGGAATGTGATGCAATCAAACGTAGCTACATATCTGTAGCTTTGACTAGTGAGCATGCAGTTAACTGGATAAGTCATGTCAAAGAAATTCTGTCTATTTGCCTAATTTATCTTACTAAACTTCAGCCCAAATCATTAGAAGATTCTTCTTTTTTACACACCTTACTTCACATGATTGTATCTTTTACATCAACATCAAGATGGTCTGCCATACATTCAAATATTTCTTTGCAAGGATTAAAATCTGGATTAGAGCGTTTAACAGAAAATTTGATTGCACATTTATTGAATAAAAATGTGTTTAACACTATGCAGGTATTCAAATTAAATGCATTTTAATTTGTGAATTTATTACCAAATTAATTTTTTTTCAGACATTGCTATTAACTGGTTTATCGGGCATTAAAATCTTATTAAAACCTGTAGCTATGACAGCTATAATGACTATTTGCTGGAGATGTTTAGTTTTGAGCAACTTTTCAAATAATATTTTCCAACTATTTGTAATAAAGATTTATTCTATACCTTTATTGGTAGAGCATTTGATATCTCTCTCGCCTAAAGTGAGTATTTTAGTATTTTATATAATTCTTTA